CTCTGGAATTCATTTCCCGTCAAAATATGACTCTGTGGTGTTGGCATCTGGCTATAAATCCTGGCTTAAAACCTTTTTTCACAATTATGGTGCGTATTTGTGCTTTCACCAATCACAGGAGAATGATCCCAGCACACCAGCCTTGAAATTATTATTTCAAATAGAGTTATATGCCTTCGGTATTAATATTTTACAATAAATGCCTTGGGTCTTTTTGTAGGTATGTCCATTGTTGCCACGTAACTGCTGTTAGTAAGTAATAATGCCAGTTTCCAGTGAAAACCAGGGAAACTCAAAGAGCTCACAAAAGAGTACCAGCTGCAGAGCTGCAACTCTGCATGGGGCTTGTACCTGGTTATTTCATAAACATGTATTTCTTGGCCCTCAATCTATGCTGCTACAAGCCCAAAGCACATGGCTTATCAAAGGAGCATGGGGCAAGCCATCAGGAGTTGAACTGGTTGCTGCTCCATTATGAAAGCATGTATTAATGGGAGTTGTTCTGTCTCCTGCTTCTTCTCCTGACCGGGAAAGGATGGACAGCAAGGAGTGCCCTTGATGCTATTAGAAGCCACTGGTGCCCACACCTCACACTTCCTTTCTGGTGCCATCATATTTTGGCTTTAGTGATATTTTGGGCCAAATATAGGTTTTACTCTGGCTCAGTTACATGCATAATTTAATAAAAATAAATGCCTATGCATGTGCAACCAGCACTTCATTGACTAACCCTGTGAGGACAGACAGACCAACATGGTTTATTTAGCTGGATGGCATCAATCTGCATAGGAATTTCAATCCCATTCACATACAAAGCATGTGCTGGGCACAGTTTTTGTTCTGGTTTCCAGCTGAAAAACTGAATTGCTGTATAAAGTATGCAACCATTTATAAATAATTACAACAAGTTGATTGAAATAGCGCAAATATGTACCATAGACCAAAAGGTGAAAACCATCTAAAAGGCAGTTAGGAGAATCTGGTGTGGATATGGCAACTTGCAAACCAGGGAGAACAGACCTAATTTCTTATTCTTGGAGGACATGGCTAGAAGGATTTTGGCTATTATGTTTCAGATATGACATGGAAAGTATGAGTAAGGTTGGGTGCTCTCCTTTACCTGCAACTGGTTAAAACTTATGCTGGGAGACCAGTTTCCTTCATTACATTTGTCGGTTCTGCTTCCATGTGAAATACCTAATTTTCGATAACGTTGGCAACAGCATAGAACAGTAAGGGTACGAATGGTGCAGAAACATACCTGTGAACTTCACAAAACCAAAAGTAGTCTTGAAAAAATTGCTTTCTGCAGAAGCTAAATGCTGTATACCCTCTAGAGCTCACCAGGGGAATCTCAGGAGGTCATCAAGAACTTTCTTGTTCTGGCGTAGCTCCTAATCACCAAGCAATATCTTGGAAGATATATTCGGACACTCAGATCATCTGTGTACTCTGAAGGTCCGGACTGTAAAATGGATCTAGACACCAGATATGATTAACGTTTTACATCACAATAAATATATCCTTTCAATTATCAAAGTGGCTAATATTAAAATACAGATAAGCAGACCAATAGTTTCTGATCAGAATACCTTAGTCTAAAAACCGAGGAAAAACCAAATGCACTGAGAAATCCAGTCAATGGAGTAATTTTCTGACTTTCGTGATGATGTCGAAACACATGGACATTACAGAGCAGCAATCAATTTGTAGGGATTTGAGTCTTTTGCGGTTCCCTTTCTTTTATTCAGATACTGCTGATTCCTGCTCGTGCCCAGGTATTCCTAAGCCCAGAAAGGAGAATGCAGAGACACAGGGTGGGAGCAGCTAGAGGTGAACATCATTTATAGCCACAGTATCAGACAAACTGTGGGGAGCAGAGCAGAGGAATGAACACTTCCTGGCTGAAAATAAATATTTAAAGCCAACGCACCATCTTTATGGGGTATTTCCCAGCTTGATTCACGCTCTGATCTCAGGAGGCTGTGGTCACACATCTCATCTCACTGTGGCTGAACCAGCAGCAGAGATGAGTGCAGCCTGCTTAAATATTTGCTGCTGCACACCTGCCAGAGATTGCTGTGCATCTTTTACTGTCCCCAGGACTGCACCTAGACGTTGCTCCTTTATTTTGAACTGTTGTTTTAGTCTAAGCTGCTTTATTTGACTTAAAAGAGTTTAAGATGAACTCTTTAAGAGTTTAAGAAACCCTGACTTCTTTGACTAAGCCAGGTGAGTGGGTTGTGCTGCCAGCTGGGGATGGTAATTTGCAGTAGAGAGATAATGCAGGTGGAAGGTGGCAGGGGCTGTAGATGAGTTAAACTCTATCTGGCTTTGCTGCAGCTGGTGCAGGATGTGTGACTGCAACTCTGGGCAATGAGCAAAACACCCTTTACCAGAAGCCACTTGTAGGCCAGAGTTTTTTCTTTTGGCTAGGTGGTAAGCTGGTTGCTCTACTAATTTCACACAGGAGGCATGTGGAGCAAGGAAAGAGGAGAGCAACTAGCCTGCCTTTGGTTGCCTAAGCACAGATAAAAAACTTTTGAAAGCTTAGTCTGAAAATACTGGCCTGTGGTTTTAGCAGCTCTGTCCGAAATCCCTCAATACTGCTTAGTAATGTTTCACCTCACTTTACTTAACCTCTCCCTTCCTTTTTCCATATTTCTAGGGGCACTAAGGAGGCTGCAGCAATAATTTCTCCCTTACTATGTAAATAGAATTTCACGCACTTTTCTGAAAACTGCACTATGAGCGACTGCTGCTGTGCTGTGGCTTTTTGATTCTTCTGAGTATCCTCAAAAGCACCAACTGCTCTGCACAGCGTATATCCAATTCTGTTACACAAAGCAATCTCAGGCTGGGTGAGGTATGGAAGTCCGAATAAGCTCAAGATGCTGTTTTCCAGGGAAGTGCATTTGAGAGAAAAGGGGTGTTGCTACTTATGCTTCAGAGTTTGCATTATGTGGCTGATTAAAAATGAAGGCTATAAGCAGAGTGCTTGGTCATGCTGCTGCCTGAGAGTTTATTGTCTGGGAACCTTAGTGCAGAATTGCTTAAAAAGAGAAAGTGCCATTCACACCGGTCTATCCAGGATTTCACAATATTTAGCGAGACAGCAAAGGGCTGGATTTCTTTCACAAGGTTTGCTGTTTTCCTTCTGTAGTTTTCTTCATGAGCTGCCACGTGGCACCCGTGCTGCTGGGGCTTACCTGCCACCCATGCACAGCTGAGGCTTTGAAAACTGCCGTGAGCGTTCAGTGCAGCTGCAGCCTGCTGCACCACGGCAAGGTGCATTAAATATGCATTGAGAAGGTCTTTCTCTTAATCGTCATGGCTTTGAAAGGGAGTTATGGCCAGTTAAAGTGGTCTAACAAAAGACAATGCTCTCTTCAGTTGGGTACTCTGTTTCTTTGAACTTACAGTAGCTGCTATATTGATTTAAGAAAAAAAAAGCAAAAGGTTAGTATGAAGAAGTATCTTTCATGCAGAGAAGAAAAATCATGTGATGTGTTCTAATACTTCAGGACCTTCCAGTGCTGAAAACCCCTGGTCTTGATTCTTTGTGTAAAAGTCCTATATTCCTATGCCATAGGTCTAGCTCTCAAAACACATCCAAATCTCTTGTTTCTACCATGAAGCTCTGAAACTGCCATGAAATTCCAGCTTGTTCAACTACTAGGCAGCAAGTCAAAGTAAAGCTCTTGAGTTTTACTTGTCCTTATTTGCTGCTGGTGGTGTTTTATTGTAGTATCTCTGCAAAAGATTTTGCATTCATACTTAATGAAAATACATTTCTATTATAGTCTCTGTGTTGTAAATATCGAGAATAAAGTGAATCATTTTATGTTATCAGCATGAAATTCGCCACACTTATTTACTCTTATGATTAGGATAGATGGGTTGGTTTGTTGGATAATTTTATCAATTGCCTTTCAAGCATATCCTCAGAACCTGCAGTGTGATCCCTGCTGATTGCCTGTCTAAACTGCAAAAAATATAACTGATAAATTCTTACTGCTTTCAGTTTTTCTGGTAGTTCAAATGAAGAATTTAGTATTTTCTGTCTAAATCAAGACATAATCTTGCTATAACAGGTTGGCAATACCTTTGAGCCTTACAGTTTGCTTTCTGGTCATGCATTACTTATATTTAGAGTTGGTTTAAGCTGATTAGGAAATGAAGGTCTGAGCTTGCAAAAGACATGAGTATTTCTTGAGAACTTGGGTTGGATCTAGGGCTTTTAGGGGTTTGTTTTAATTATGCCTCGATCCATTCTCTGGAAGTCACATTCCACTGTTACGGTGTATCTGGTGAATCAGCCTGAATTGCTAGTTAGTTCTGTGAAGTTGTGGCAAGCCCTTAAGTGCATGTAAGTCCTGTGTGTCCTTAGCAGAGATACTGAAAGAAAAGAATTTTCCCACCAAACAAGTATCACTTTAGTGTTCACAACAGAGGAATTTTTACAAGCTATGAATGTTTTTAAAAGGAACTTTCAGGAAAAAAAAAAATGGAAAATGCATGTCAGGTAGCTATTATGAAGTGTTACAGAGAACGAAATGTGCCATCAAAAAAACTTTGTGAACTGAGCACCTAGTTTTGGAGTTCAAACCCAGTTTAACTATTTTGATTGCATTTTGTTAAAGTTGAACATAAAACTCTTGAAACTGCGGGTGGGTGGGTTTGAGGGCACATGACAGTTTTCGTATAATCCCCAGGAGGGCTGATTTGACTTTTGTAGACACAAGGTAGTAAAATTCGTAAAGACTGCTTGTTTAAAGATTTTTAAACAAGTTTCTGCCACAAAGCACTTGGAGATTGCCTGTGTGACACTGCTCTAGTGCGCTCTGACTGTGTACCATGATGGAAGGTAGCAGGAGCTTGGTGCAGGACTGGCTCTGCTGTCTGCGTTGTCACATTCAGAAGACAGCTGACAAATTTACCTTCTCTGTGCTTCAAGTTTTGGTGTAAAGATTAACACTGCTATTTTTTTTTCTAAGCAGGTGTGAAAGTAAAGAGCTTGATGTTGAAATAAGGAACCTGATAGAGAAGAATAACACTTACCAGTTGTGCGAGGACCCCAAACCTATTGCCCAAGAGAGTCTGAACCCTCAGAGAACTTTGTGTTCCCTTAAGGTAAATGCAGTCTACTTTTGCAATGTTCATCTGCCAGGAAAGAACATTCAGGGGTCATTCCCTGGGTTACCTGATTATGCATGAAATTTTTTGATTTCTGAAATGATGCAATGAACTTGCCACACTTTTTTTTTTCCTGACACAGCTACTTTCTGTTATGAGGAAGAATGAGTGAGAAGATATGTTTTATAGTGCTTTAAAAGGTCAGCTAAAGCCACTGATTATCCAAAGTGCCAGCCTTCGTAGCCAGCTGTGCCTTTTGGATAACACAGATCCACAAAACTGTATACCCCAAGAGCACTGGTATTTCTTTAGGTTGTTGCGTTTGGTAGTTCCGATTTAACTGAGGATGAGCAGAGGTGTGGGAGACAGATCTTTGGGAGTGTCAGAAAGGCTTTTAGATAAATAGGAAGAAATAAGAGGAAAACCAATTATTCAAACCCACGCTTCTGTGGTATTACAAACAGAAAACTGTAAGTCACCTGTTAAGATGGTTGTCTTTGCTTGCAGTGAAGCAGCAGTTAACAAGCATGACAGAAAGTTCTTCTAAGTTTCCCTTTCGGTTTCCCTCCTCTCCCCTGAAATAGCAAGCTGCTTTTTATTGTGCAGTAGTAGGATAAAAAGAAATTCCTGCTTTCTGGAAACTCTGAAAGGGAGGAGTGAGAGGTGTGGAGAGGAGTGATTAAGCCATGAATGCCATCCACCTACATGGATGCAGGGATGACACACTTACCTGCCTGTGTGACTCCTCTACAGGACGGGAGGGGAGGGAAACCTCTGAAGGCTGCGCCCCGAGGCGTGATGCAGGAAATTGATGCGGAGGTAAAGGAGAGATGACTCTCTTCTATGAAATCTGAAATTACACATAGCTCCTTTCACATGTAAACCGCCATCTCCAAAATGACTCATGACCTTGGGGCATGAAGCTGAGCTGAGCCTAAGGAGATGCCGCAGAGTCAGACTAGCGGGATTAGAAATGGTGAGATAGAAGCCACAGGGAGGAATGGGGATTTCCGGCCCCAGGGGAGCAATAAGCATGGTGAAACAGAAGTCAGTGCAGAATCAAGTAGCATTGAGCTACGAAATTACAGGGCAAAACAGCAAGCCACAACTGGTCTGTGGAAACACCTGGTCCCCCATATTAGCCTCCCTCCAACAGAAGGAGATGTAGGAAAGGATTTGGGGGGTGTGGGGAGGAGAAAGAAAGGATATGCTCACCTCAACTGTTTCTGTGGAGTGCTTCGGCACTTCACAGAGAATACTATGGCAGTATTTCATCTGTAGTCTTTTTAAGCTTTTTGCACTTATAGGACTTGTTTGCCTATGAAAGATGAGTGTTTGTGGTTTTCACAGGTTAAAGGGTTTATGATATTTCTGCAGTAGAAATATACTGACTTATTTATACTTCTAAATCAAACAGCTTCTCGCTTGGCTGGTTATTGTCTTGGACTTAAAGTGAGTGACATCTTGACAGTTGTGATGATAAGTTACAACATCCTCAGTGTAAGATGTTAGGAGTACATGTATCAGATTGTGTGTTTTGGAAAAGGGGGTAGTATTTTTAACATTTTAACATTTTTAACATTTTAACAAACCTAGTATACTTTCCATTATGAAGGTTATAAAACGGTATTAAGAAAACTGCAGAAAATGTCAGTTTGTGGAATGAAATGCTGATTTAGACTTAAAATGAGGGGAAAATTCTATATTTAGGAATTAGGAAAAAGTTAATGAAACAAAAATATACCCTTCCCCATAGTGTTGGTCATTCATGAAGAAATTATTTGGCAGAGCCAGCACGTCATTTTTATTCTGTAACTTTTTTTTTCTGGAGTGAAAGTTATAAACTGCATGCTGCAAAACGACATTTCCTTCTGAGCTTAAATTGCTTTTGAGACTGTTATCTGGAAATGTCTGTAAACAAATTCGGTTTTTTACCAGGATTTTTTTCAATAAAAATATATAATATTATCGTGGTTGTAAAGGCAAATATTTTTGAGAGAGAAAATGTAAGTCTGCAGAATGAACTGATTCTCAGCACATCCTTCAGCCTATGATTCCTTTATCTGTAGTACTTTAATTGCAGCTTGTCATGATGCTATGTCCCCCACTCCGGGGAGAGTGAAAAGAGGGAGCAGATTAGAGAAACATCCTTACAAGCAGGTCACAGCATTAGGAGCCTGTTGGTGTACCCGGGTCCCTGACACTTCCATATGGTTCATTGGTCTAATATAAGGGACTTGAGAGACTGTGTCCCTATATGTAGTTTGTCTAGGTGAGCAAACTGTCTGGGATTTTTTTAATTGTTCAGCTGAAATGAGAGGTGAGACCTTAGTGTGGCATCATTATTTTACACTGATTTAAGCTCTTTTCAGTTTAATGAAATGTGTTTACTTTTGCTAGAGCCCTTGACCAAAAAAGGGAAACACATGATGAAATCTTTTACTGATTAGAACAGTTGATAATTTCTAATTCACATCTACTTATCTATTCCCCTGTCTTCTGTAACATCACTTACTGCTGCGACATGCAGGACTGGATGTGAGCGAGGAGGATTGCAAGTTCCAGTACTGCAGAGGCCATAGCGTGTGAAAATGCCTGCTCTCAAAACATGCCTCAGGAAGGAAAGTGTTCTTTATTCTGTCTTCTATAGAGAGGGAAACTGAAGGCCAAAAGGATCAAGCAATTTGCTATCTTAATATAAGAAATCAAAGAAACAAATTTCTTACCACAAAAAAGCAGCTTCTTTTTCAAATTTAAGCATAAAGCTGATTACATTCAACTGGAATAAGCTAGACTAAAAATTATGCATCAAAATGCAAATATTATTAAAAAGTACTCATGCAGAGTGTTTTCAGCGTATTTAGGGCTTCATCAAGATTTTACACACAAGAAGGATGTTTTCTGGAGGAGATGAGGGTGCATAAAAGTATCAAATAGGAAGAGAAGAATAGCAACTAAAATAATTAGCAGTGTGTCAACATAAAGTAAAGTTGACAGAGGTAATATATTTTATGGGATCAAGAGGTACAAAAAACCCCAATAAACTTTCAAGCATCTAAACTGTTTTGGGTGTGAAGTGAGAAAGAAAAAAAATTCATTTAAGGGCTATCTGTACTTGCAACCACTATGTTGTAAAACTTAAAATAGTCTGTTTGCTACAGTTGCAAATTATCATTCAATTACTGTTCCATGAAGCTGGGATTTTCATCATCAGGCCTAAGTTTACAAATGCTTAGGTACTTGAGTAGCCATGCCCTTATGGTTAGTCTCATTGGTGATGATGGAAAACAGTGGATAAAGAGAATCTTGAAACAGAAGCCTGTGCTATGTTTTAATAGCTCTGAAACCATATTTAGCTCTAATTTTATCTGGTCCCCATGTATTAAGGCACACATTTGCATCTGCACATATTTTTCTGTCAGAGTGACTACCTAACTGAACAGCACAAAAGGTTGAGGCTGACATACTTAAGGGAAAATCCCTTTCTAGCACACTTCTCTGCATGAAGCACGTGGACCACATTTAGACAGGAAGAGGTAGATTCTTTTTCTGATTTAAGCGCTGATTTTATTCTTCAACTAAAATTTCTCAATTTTTACCATTTCACCATGTGCACCAGAATGAGAAAAGGGGTTCCAGTGAGTATTGTAGCAAGCACTGGTGGCATAATAATGTTTTCAGAAATAAAGCCAAAAGCAAACCTCAAGCAAAATGTAAGCAAACAGAAGGCTACCTAGGAGCCACCAAATTTTAACCCAAGTGATCTCAGAGTATATCTAGCTTCTACAATTTTGCAACTGAACAGTACAATAAATAAAAACCCAAACAAAACCCCCAATAAACCTCACAGCAGTTATGTGATTGACTAGGAATTGAAAAAAAAAAAAAAAAAGGATGATTTTACCATTTTGTCATCATCAAGGAAAGATTCACTTTTACTTGAATCAAGTGCTTTAATGGTTCTTGGTTTCACTGCAGTTACTGAACAGATGGAATTTTCAGAAGTGACAAGTGGCTTTGATTAATTTCTGAGTGCTTATTTTGTAATACTGTAACAGAAGCCTTTCACAGAATAAAGATCCAGCACTCTGAAAATGAGAACTTTTATCTTCTTGTGGTGCTGATGCTTGTAAGAGGATTCGGTGTTGGCCACAGCTCCAAGGATTTGATTTTTCTCCCATTGCAAGCTTCCCAAAGATGAGTAAAAGGCTTTTACACTCAGAAAGGTCAGGTCTTCCTAGAATACAAACTAAAATAATTCTCATTTTTAAATAGAGGGAAAAAACCAACCTCAAAGCTGCTACTAATAAAAATTACAGAATATCATAGAAATAGAACACAAATTAATAAAGGTTTCTAAGCAATTCAGCCCGCTTTGCCCTTGCAGGCAGGGTTGTATGTTGCCACTTGTAGGTTAATTCGGTGAGCTTCTGAGGGGCAGCAAATCCTGCCTGGTCCCATTTGCTTCCTGGGAAGCTTTTTCCATACCTGGTAGCTGACTGGCTTATTCCTGCTCCTCACAGCAGTCTGTCT